AATCGTGGAATGTAAAGAGGCTGAATTGGGTAAAGAGGCGACACCTTATCCATTTGACAGGTCTTCTGCTCGATTGGAATAACTTTTGCTATGACTTTGACAGATAATCGATTGTTCCAATTTTGACATGTCGTCTCTTTATAAATTCAGGCTCTTTAGTGGAATGCAGTCAAAACTAACAGGTTGCTATGTCACCGTGCATTGAATATTGAGCAACTCGAGTTACTCAGAGTTACTCAAAATTTACTCCAATATTACTCATTATCAAAAGCTGTCTCACCCCTAGGTTTAAAATATTTTTTTCTACGTGCCTGAGGAACTAAACTTTCGAAAATAATGTTTCGAAATTAGACCCAAAGTCCAAATCCTTTTGGAAACTCACAAATAAATTTAAAATAAAAACTCAAAAGCCTATTGCAGCGCTTAAAGAAGGTGGTAAAATTTTGATCACAAATTCGGAAAAAGCTCAGAAACTTGCTAGGGGCTGTTCATTAACTACGTAGACGGTGACCCCCTCTCCCTGCGTTGACAATTGTTCATACAAAAAATAAAATTTGTATGGGCCGTGGATAATAATTATCAATTATTGTCAACCCCCCTCTCCCTAAACTGTCTATGTAGTTTATGAACAGTCCCTAAGAGCAACCGTACCAGTCGTTGCCATTTGCGGGACTATTTTACTTACGAACAGCGTTTCCATTTTGGCTTAATCACTCCTCTCCACACCGGTCGTTGCTATCAGAGTCATAATTTAAGTTACCGTTTTCCACACCGGCAAAACAAATTTTTGACGTTTATTCAAAATAGCAACCGTCTGATGCGTTGCTACCGGGTTGCTAAATTTATGAACTCACTACTTCCCAAGGTGCGTATTGCTATTTCCCCCACCTGAATAGCAACCCCCGGTACGCAAGTAACGTTATGGTAGAGGTAGGTAAATGTGCCTTATTTACTCATTGGTACGGTTGCTCTAAAGGCCCAAGCGCAATGACGGCGGAAAAGCCCGATCTGAGTAAGCCTACTTGTCGGATTGAAAACTAGTTAGATCCAAATCGACTTCGGTTAGGCATCTTGATGTCATTAGTGACAACTGTCAAACTTTCCGTTTCCGTTCCGCTTCCGCCCACATTGCGTTTGGGCCTTAAGCAATTCGAGAGTTCCCATAATTATTTCAGTACGAATTTGATAGCATAGATTACATCCACAGAAGAAAGGTTTATGTATTTGCTCATTTTTCTATGCGTTGCTTTCACCTTCGCTCAAGTGAAGCGCTACTGTATCTGTCGCTTGGATTCTAGAAAAGTTGCCAGTCTTTTTTGATATGATATCTTCGCTTGAAGTCAAAGGTTTTCTTGCACTAATACTTATGATTTACCCCGAGTTCTGCACTAATACTTGTGCATTTCACAAACGACAGAGAAGTCTATTGAGAGCGGAAAAGATGCATCAAAAGTTGCATACAAGATTGCGTACAAGGTTATTGAAACTTTCAAGAAATTTGTACACGACCAATGAGATGAGATCACTCATCATCACGGTTTTTCTCTCAAAATCGCAAAAACGCACACGGACGATGAGATCAACTAAGAATTGAGTTGGATTCGACTCAATTTAGCAAAACGTGGATTTACTGACACGGCCAATGAAATCAACCCAAATTTGAGTTCACTTTACTTATAATTGCAAAAAGTACAGGATCTCAGCGATGAATAAATTAGTTGCCTTTTGTTTTCTTGTGGAAAACCTAAAAAATTTGCCGGAAAATGAGGAAAATTTCCGAAAATTTTACTCAGTCTAGGAGTAGTACCAGTAGACTAAAGCTGGGTTTAGATAGGGCAAGTCAAATGATCAACTCAGTTGAATTCAATTGGCTTGCAAAGTTGAGCCTGGTTCAACTTTTTTCAATTCAAGTGAGTTGATCAAGTCAGTTGAATGGCATGGTTTACACGTTCAATTCGCGTTCAAGTCAGTTGAATTCAACTGACTTGATCAATTGACTTGCCCTGTTTAAACCCAGCTTAAGAGAATCCAATCTTTACCTTTTTCATATTCGGGATGTTTTTTCCTGGGAAAACCTGGAAAAACATGAGGAAAATTTACTCATCACGGAGTTCCTGTACTTTTTGCGATTTATGAGTAAACTGAACTCAAATTTGGGTTGACAAATTTTCGTTGATTTTTCTCATATTCGAGAAGTTTTTCCATGAAAAGTTTGGAAAACTTTGCTAATTTTGTGAGCAAATCCGCCCCCATCTTTTTTTTTCCTTTGTTCGGGATCTAACACCACTGCGACCAGTAATTTGATCTATTGTAGTATATCCCGTGTCCTTAGTTTAGTGCATGTCGTATTACTCCATCACTATTGAGAAATGATGAAGTATTCGATTTTTTTTTTACTTTTGTCATTCTTGCATTTATCGCAAGGATTCGACCGAAGACAACAAATCAAGAAGACTGGCAACTTTGCCAGAATCCAAGCGACAGATACAATGGTGCTGCGCTTGAGTGAAGGTGGAAGAACGCATAGAAAAAGCAGCAAATACACAAACCCTTCTTCTGAGGATGTAATCTTTGCTATCAAATTCGTTCGAAGCATTTACCTTTGAGCGATTTGTTGTCTTCGATTCAACTCTAATTGAAAGGTTCCGCTATTTATACCCTTCGGAGTGTTGAAACACCCTCCAAAAACGCGTCCCTTTGTCAGTCAAAATTGGATACCTTAGCAACAAAATTAAGGAATAACACCGATAATGACCATGCATCAGAACCCTAGTCTTGACCACTTCAAACTAGAGAACAACGAATAGAAGATTAGGAATCACATACCTAGATGAAGACTAACTAACTCATTTTATTCCTTCTTTCAAGATCATCCTCGGTGGACAAAGCCGAGTCTTTTTTTTTTTTCCATTTCGTTTATTTGGCAGGCTCAAATGTTATAAAAATAACTTAGCGGAGCCGAGTAACATAGAATACCAATTATGGTACTCAAAATACAAAAGAAAAATATGTACAAATATATTTTATCATATCATTTTTCTGGGTGGCGATCGAAGCGGCGACAAAGCGATCTTCTCCCGTGCACGCAACTTCTTTCTTTCCCGAATTTGTTCCTCATTTTCATTGAACCCGAATCGTGATCGCTGCTGCTGTTTCTGGACATCGTTTCCCGTTGCATGCTCTCCGCTACTCTCGTCGGTCGTCGGGGTAGTCACGTCCATTTCGTTATCTGCATTCAACATCTCCAACCCCGTATCCGTTTCCTGATCGCTAATGACAAACGACGCACCTTCCACCACTACACCAGCATACGTACTGCTGCTGTGTTGTTTTCTTTCACTTTGCTTTCCTTTTTCCTTCTGTTGCTTCTCCGGTTCCTTCCGAGCCTTCCGCTTGGGACAGGAAAGCTTCCGGTGTCCGTCCGCCTTGCACAGAAAACATTTGTCTTTGTTGCCATCATAAAAAATGTTTCCTTTGCGATTGAAGAAATGTAATGACGTGGGGATTTCCTTCTTCACATCCATATATACACCGCGTATCCCTGTATACACCTCAAAACACAGATCAGTTGGAAATTTCTCCCGGATGATGCGTTTAATTTTCCCATATTTCCCCAGCACTTTATCCAGCTCGTTGTCGGGTACCTCTGGTGGCAAGTCATACACACGCACATATTGAATGAATTCACCAGCATGCGACATGCGTACCTTTGCCGTCGTTCCATTCGCATAATGGAAGATTAAATCCTCCGAATTGAATGTCAGAGCATGGAGCATCGCTTCCTCTGATTTGAACTTCATGAAGACTCCCCTTTCCTCACCAATGCGATAAACAGCTTCCATTTCAGCCGGATCCGCGTCGAGTGCTTTGGCGAAATTTACTATCTCTCCGATGTTTGGTTTGGCATCACAATGGCTGAAGCTAAACTTGATGGTGTTTTTTACTTCACACATCTTGCACCGTAGCAACAATAGGCACCGAACTGCTAGCAACGAACAAAGAGCAACTATATAATAGCGAGTCTCGAAAACAGGCTATCGTGTGGTTCACAACGAAATAAAAAATCGACTGCTGCTGTAGACAGCTGTAGGGCAACTGTAGCCGAGTCTTGTCACTATCAACAAGGCATAAAAAGTAACAAGGACTAAGATGTGTTCCTTGGATTACTGAAAAATCCTGTTCCCCTAGTTTGAAGTAGTCAGGACTAGGAATCGGTGGTAGATCTTACATCCCGTAACGTACCACGAAAAGGTGATCTACCCACGTTACGGGTCAATCCGCCCCTATTAAAATCCTTCTGATTTTCCTCAAGATTTAGTCGGTTCGCGTGATCGACCGATTTTGCTTCAGAAGAAATGACAGATTGACGTAAATGGGATTTTATAAGGGGCTGATAAAACATGCAATCCAAATTGCAATCGACGAAAAGCTACTAAATAGACCGATTGTGTTGGAATGTATCACCTCTGGGACGAATAAATAATTATTAACAGCAGCTTCATTGATTTTAGTATTTAACTTATAGCGAATTAGTTTAGTCGTTTCAGAGCATAAAACGCTGTACAGACTGGAGAGTTATAACATGTTATAACGGTAGTCAAATAATTGCAACAGAGAAACCACTATCAAGATAGCGCAATAACATGTTATAACTCTGTAGTCTGAACGTACTATAAGACTTACTTAGTAACCTCCGCTTTTAGAAATTTCTCCATGCGAATGAGTTAAAGTGACTTACCCCCTGAGTTGAATTCGTTTTCAGTGTACTTTTTATTGCGAGGGAACGAAACTCAAATTTGGTTTACTAAGAATTAATTAATGCTACATTTCCTTATAACTGAAGTGAAAAAAAATCACGAGTTCTACATTGTGGTCGATAAGGGAGTATTTTATCGAATCACCATGAGTTGCATTATTAGCGATAAGAATGATGGTAGTCATCAAAATAATAATAATATAAGTCCCATTGCTTTATTCGAGAAAACACCATCCTATAATTTATTTTGTGTTGGTAATAATTTTTCGAAACAAAACGCTTTAATTAAACGAAACTTAAACAAAATGCACTGGCAATAATGATCATAATGATGTCTAAAACTATAATCTCTCGCACACGTTGAACAATAAGGAACCAAACAAAACAATGATGACACTTTGGCTTAGCTAAATTTAAATTCCAACAAACAGAGCTGATAACTTTTGTTGCAGGTTGATAACGACCAACGACGACTAATTAACTTTCTTTTTCGAAATAATGGTTCATTTCTACATTGATCTCTACTGAAGATTTGAATAATCGTGGCTTCTTACGTGATGACGGTCGGTGCATCGCGACCGGTGAAGCTGGGCAGTTTGGAGATTTCCAGTGCAATATCAATCAGGGGTTTCAACATGACGGAAGCCTGCCCGAGAACGTTCTCCTTCTCGTAGGAATCGATGTACAGACGAACGGTGGCCCCGGAACTGCCTGTACCGCTGAGACGCATCACGATACGGCTACCATCGGTGAATACGATGCGAAGTCCTTGCTTGGTGGAAACAGATTTGTCGATAGGATCGTTGTAGCTGAAGTTGTCTCCCAACTTGACCTTATAGGTTTTTCCTCCGGCAGAGAAATCTTTGCCGACAAAGGAAGCGTCGGTGATAGTTTTTTCCAGGGAGGTCATCATCTCGTTGCACGGAGCTAGATCGCATTCCTCATAGTCGTAGCGGGTGAAGTAGTTTCGGCCGTAGCGCTTCCAGTGTTCAACGCAAATTTCCTCTACACTCTTTCCGGTATGCTGCATGACCGAGAACCAAGCCAAAACGGCCCAGATGCCGTCCTTTTCACGAATGTGATCGGAACCAGTTCCGAAGCTTTCCTCTCCGCACAGACACAGGCGGCCGGCGTCCATCAGATTGCCAAAGTATTTCCATCCGGTGGGGACTTCAAACAGTTCCTTGTTCAGAGCCTTGGCAACCAGATCAACGGCGGAAGCCGTCGGCATGCTTCTAGCCAGACCTGTGACTCCATTCTTCTTAAAGTACGGAATGCATTCGAGGTAATGAGCGATAACGGCAAGTGAGTCGCTCGGGGTCACGAAGAACGCATTGCGACCGATAATCATGTTACGATCACCGTCTCCGTCGAAGGCTGCTCCAATGTCGTAGTCCCCATTGCGTACGGCTTCGACCAAGTCTTTGGCGTAGGTAAGATTCGGATCCGGATGAAGTCCACCAAAGTCTGGCAGTGGAGTCGTGTGAACCACGCCATCCTTCGATGCTCCCAGACAATTGACAAAAATTTCGTTTACGTAACTTCCAGTCACTCCGTTCATCGCATCGATTCTCATCTTAAGTGGCTGGCCATTGCGGGACTTTCCACTGACAAAGTCCTTTAGCTTGTCGAAGTCGAAAATTTCCTTCATCAAACGGATGTAGTCAGTAACGGAATCGATGACCTCCACCACGAACGGCTTTCCATTGACTTCGTAGTTGTTGACTCCCGTTTTCGAGACATCAATGGCCAATCCTTCCGTAATTTTGTACTGTTTGATCTCTCCCGAGAGAGCGAAAATTTTATTGGTAAAATTGTCCGGTGCCGGTCCTCCGTTTTCGCAGTTGAACTTGATCCCGAAATCGTTTTCCGGACCACCGGGATTGTGAGACGCAGTCAGAACGATTCCACCTAAAGCCTTGTGACGGCGGATCAAACTGGAAACGGCTGGCGTGGACAGAATACCATTCTGACCTGCCAGAACCTTAGCCACTCCATTCGCAGCGCACATTCGCACAATCAGCTCGCAAGCTTCCCGACAGAAGTAACGGCCATCTCCTCCTACTACCAGGGTGGATCCCGCCAATGGGGCACCATTAGCATCCAGGATGCATTGTACAAAATTTTCCGTGTAGTTCTTCTGGGTGAACACTTTGACCTTTCGTGACACAACAAGAACACCGTTAAGAGCAATGAAAACAGTGAGGGATTTTTTTTAGTAGCTTACCTTCTTTCGAAGTCCGCTGGTGCCGGGCTTCTGGCCCTCGAATGGAGCGGTGGCAACGGTGGCGATGGTGATAGCCATTGTTCTAACAAGCACTCTTTGTGGATCGCTTCTTATCAGTATAATAGAGATAGTATTGCACAAACTCTGCCTGCAAAATGAATATTATTCACTACTTAACCGTACGGCAGCTTCTTATGTGGAGGATTGCTAACGAACGAATGGATGTTTTCCTGCCGATCCGAACGAAATATCTGTTTTGAATGTCGCGTGAAGGTCGCATCCACCAGAGCACTGTTCGCGGATTGACGGTTTCTCACGTCTCATCGAAGTTTGGAGGCTGGTTCTCACGGGGTGGTGTCACTCCTTCATTTTGATTTTGAAATTTATTTGTATAACAAACTTAAGTTAAGTAGAAAAATAATAATACAGGAAAAGTTACTTAAACTTCATTTGAGTCGTTTATAAGCTGGCAAAAGTGTTCAATTTACATTTAAAATATGGAAACATTAACTTGGAGCGCACTTCCCGGACGCACCCTGCAATGTTTATCTTTAAATCCCAACCAGAGTCGCGTTGATAAGATTTTCTTTAAGGTGGGCGTAAAATTGTTTATCACTCAAAAATATTACTACACGAAGAAAGATTAAAATTTGATCATTCGATTATTTGATTATTTTACACTAAAGTCTTTTTTTACATGGTTTTTTTACGCGGTTTTTTTTTACACGGTTTTTTTTACACGTTTTTTGCGATTTACACGGTACGTTTTTAACGATTTCTCGACAACGATACAACCTATCGACTTGATTCCAATCACATTATCCGTTTCAAGCTATAGGTAATCGAATGGCATACCTAAAAAAAAAAAAATCACAATTTTTGGTGTAAATACAGAATTTTTTAAAATATGTCTATATGGACCATAGCATGCTTTAATTACAAATGGCATCAAAATTCGATTTTTTAAAAACATTTAAACATGTGAAATATAAAAATCTCGTAGGTTTTTTTACGCGGTTTTTTTTACACGGTACGTATCCCCGTGTAAAAAGACCTGACTGTATTTATAATTATACTAACTCCGAATAAATTTGAACAAAGATTTTGTTCAGAGTATACCACTTTTTGATGTTGTAAATTGACAAATCCAAGTTTCAATCGGCCACCGTGGCACTGCAATCGCAGCGGTGATAAGTCCGAAATAATGTGTCAAACTAAATACATTTTTGAAATTTCAACCAAAAAACTCATTCCTCGTCGAACGTTCGACAGAGCAAGTTTGCTTACGCTACTCTCCCGCCGCCGCAAAAGTGTTTTTCGGAAAAAAGTGGATTTTTTTTCTCTCCCCGATCGGAGTTTTTTTTACACCTTCAGGTGTGCAGTGCCACAGGCGGACATAAACGTTCCCCGGAGGAAGCAACCATCTCAGCCGAGTCTGAAGATTGGATTGTCCAACGGTAAAACTATCAACCACCACCTAGACATCGCATCATACGGCATCAAAAGGTCATCACCCGTATACACCGTACAACGAAGCAGCAGAACTGCAGATACGGTCTATACAGACCGGACGGTGCCCTTTGTGCTAAGCCACGTGCTGCAACAATAGAGCGATCATCTCTGCTTCATCGTCATCGCACAGTGGAGTTTGTAAACGCGCCATCCCGGCATATAGAGATAAGTTAATTTTTTTCTCAGCCTAATTCTTTTTTTTTTTTTTTTTTTGTAAATAATTTTTTTTTGTGTGGTTTTTGATTTGCTAATATTAAGTAATCCCCCTGCAGCGTTGAATTTCCTTTCTTACAAATTATTATTTTTATTATTATTCATTATCTTATTTAGTTTTTTTTGCACATATTTTATTTTATTTTTATTTTTTTAACACTGAGCAATTCACTCACAGTGTTGACTTCCTTTTCTTGTTGTTTCCTTTCCAATTTCAATCCATATATTTGAAATTTGTGGAAAATATAAACATTTAATAACTAAGATTGCAACCAATTCCGTTGCGGTGGTATCTTAAGTCACCGCAATGGATGATACAAATAAAGGCGGGGGTCTGTCGCTTGACATCTCTGATGATGAGTCAATAAAGTCTCCCTCATTTGAAAAGCTTGATAGCTCTGAGGAAATGGATACCCTCGAAGAGCACCTTGATCAAACCACCAGCAAGAACACTGGAGCCTATCCAAAAGTGAAATCTCTACCACAGCCCCCTTCTCCTCCATCGCCGCCTTGTCCACCATCGCCGCCTTGTCCTTATGTGCCCCCTACTCCACTCCTTCCCCCGAAAATATCAGCGACCCCCCGCCACAAGGCTTACCCTGATGACTCGAAAGGTCCGTGGGTTGTTTTCTTCCGGCCCAAACAAAAACCTTTGAATATTTCTCGGATTTCGAAGGATCTGACAAAACATTTTTCGGCCGTAACCGATATCTTTAAGGTGACGCCAAACAAACTGCGCGTTACCGTTGATAACCTGAAACAGGCAAACCGAATTGTTGCCTGTGAGCTTTTTTCGATCGAATATCGAGTCTACGTCCCCAGTTGTGACGTAGAAATTGAAGGAGTGGTCACCGATTCGAGTCTGACTTGTGAGGATTTCCTGCAAGTCGAATCTTTCGGCATTTTCAAAAACCGTGCCCTTCCGAAAGTCAAGATACTGGACTGCATTCAACTGCAGTCAGTGTCGCACATAGGCACAAACAAAAAGTATACCCTCTCAGATTCGTTTCGTGTGACCTTTTCAGGATCGGCATTACCTGACTACGTCACAATTGGGAAGGTTCGACTACCTGTACGCTTGTTTGTACCGAGGGTAATGAATTGCTTGAAATGCAAACAACTAGGTCACACCGCGGACTTTTGTTCCAACAAACCGCGGTGCGATCAATGTGGGGAGGAGCATACGGAGGGTCCTTGTCATGCTACACCAATATGCGTTTACTGTAAGGATGCTCCGCATGCTCTGAGTGATTGCCCGAAGTACAAACAGCAGGGAGAAAAACTAAAGCGGTCCTTGCAAGCTCGCTCTAAGCGCTCGTTAGCAGAAATTTTGAAAACGACCGCTTCATCTTCCCAAACCACCCCAAAAAGCAACAACACATTCCACCTCCTGCCAGATGATGATCAGGGCTCTGACTCAGAGGTTGGTGAGAGTAGTCCTTTTGTCTTTAACGGCAACACGAGGAAGCGGTCCAAAACAAACGTCACCCAAAAACCTCGTAAGGCCTCTCGTACGGACTCTCAACCTACCTTGACAAATTTAAGAGGTAGCGGAAATGTAGCAAAACCCCCACCACCGGGATTTCAAGTTTGTAATTTTAACAAAGACTTTCCGCCACTTCCGGGATCATCTAAAACCCCAGATATCCCAGTTTTTCAGCCAGAAAATCAGCTAAATAACCAGCAAGAACATGATGCCATGTTCACGTTTTCTGGAATTGTGGAGAGCATCTTCAATATATTCAACGTCTCTGACTCAACTAGGAACATTATTAATTTAGTGCTTCCATTTGTGAAAACTCTTTTGAAGCAACTAGCTTCTAGGTGGTCCTTCCTTGCATCGATCATATCTTTTGATGGATAATTTTCCGAATGAGGTCGGAGATATGATCTCTCTTCTTCAGTGGAACTGTAGAAGTCTTATACCGAAACTTGACGCATTCAAATTTTTAGTTCACAACTCACTTTGTGACGCATTTGCTCTTTGTGAAACATGGCTTTCTTCAGACACCGATCTCCCTTTCCACGATTTTAACATTATTCGCCTTGATCGAGCAGATTCGTATGGAGGGGTGCTTCTAGGGATTAATAAGCTCCATTCCTTTTATAGAATCGATCTGCCTTCCGTGACAGGCATTGAAGTTGTCGCGTGTCAGGTAAATATTCGAGGTAAAAGCCTCAGTATTGCCTCAGTATATTTTCCTCCGAGAACTGCGATTTCTCGCCAAGGTCTCTCAGATATCTGCTCAGTTTTATCTGAGCCTCGGTTGATCTTAGGAGATTTTAACTCTCACGGTACAGGCTGGGGGGAACTGTACGACGACAACCGCTCAACCTTGATATACGACATGTGCGACATCTTCAAAATGACAATTCTGAACACCGGGGAAGCAACACGAGTAGCCAAACCTCCAGCAAGAGTAAGCAGATTAGACCTCTCACTTTGTTCGAGTTCACTATCGTTGGATTGCTCGTGGAAAGTAATCCAAGATCCCTACGGTAGTGATCATTTGCCAATCAAAATTTCTATTACCAATGGTTCATCTTCCACTCGCTCGGTTGACATCGCGTACGACCTCACGAAAAACATCGACTGGAAAAAATTTGCGGCCACGGTTCTCGGTGGTATTGAATCGGTTGAGATACTCCCTCCGCTGGATGAGTACTCCTTTTTATCGCGACTTATCGTTGACTGCGCTCTTCAAGCACAGACGAAACGCGTTCCGGGTGTTTCCATTCGCAGACGACCTCTCACTCCGTGGTGGGATAAGGATTGCACCAACGCGAACAGCGAGAAGTCCGCCGCGTTTAAACGCTTCCGCAAACACGGTAAGGTCGGGGATTTCGAGCGGTACACCGACCTCGAGAAAACTTTCAAGGGCTTGATTAAAGCCAAGAAACGCGGTTACTGGCGTCGGTTCGTCGATGGTTTGTCGCGAGAGACTTCCATGAGAACACTCTGGAATGTCGGCAGGAGAATGCGAAACGCGTCATCACCGGTCAACGAAGACAAGGAGTACTCAGACAGTTGGATATTCAGCTTCGCGCGGAAAATTTGCCCTGATTCGGTGCCGGTTCAAACCAACGTTCGTGATCGTCCGTCGGGTAATAACGAAATAGATTCTCCGTTTTCGATGGTGGAATTCTCACTTGCTCTCCTCTCGTGTAACAACTCAGCCCCAGGAATGGATAGAATCAAGTTTAACTTGCTCAAAAATCTCCCAGACGTCGCGAAGAGACGCTTGTTGAACTTATTCAATCAATTTCTGGAGCACAACATTGTTCCGGATGATTGGAGGCAAGTAAGAGTTATCGCCATTCGAAAACCCGGTAAACCCGCGTCGGATTATAACTCGTACCGTCCCATCGCGATGCTGTCCTGTATACGGAAATTGTTGGAGAAAATGATTCTTTTTCGTCTAGACAAATGGGTCGAGTCGAATGGTTTACTTTCAGATACGCAATTTGGATTTCGGAGAGGCAAAGGAACGAGCGACTGTCTT